CTGTGTCCTCTGGCTCCTGTTGACGGGGAACGTGGCGTGCCGTATACTAGCATCGTCGCCCATGATGCTCGGTCCCGCGACAACGCTGAGATCGACCTGGTCTACCTGCCGTCGAGCGGCCTCCTCGGGGGTGTCTTCGATGATGACCTCAATGACCTTCCCCTGCTTATTAGCCTCATCCTGGCCGCGGTCCTTGATGGTGGCTGCACGACCCAACTTCTGACGACGAGAAAAGGACCGCGTAAGGGAGGACCTCTTAGGCAGCGGGGACGACGAGAGCAGATCCTCGCCCTTGATCGTGGTGTCTGGCCTGAACCCGGCCCCAAGACCACCGGTGAGATGACCGCTCGCCTCCTGCTCCTGCAATCTTCTAAGGAACGCATCGTCTTGATAGCCCATCGGGCCAAGCGCAGCAGTTACATCGAAAATGGGTTCGTTATCCGGAACCGACTCGTACTGCGACGATTGGCCTATGGGTGCGGCGGAGCGCAGGAGGGAGAGGTCATGCTCTTCCTCGGGGATGGTCTCGTGACCGCGTCGCGATGGTGCGCGACCAACATTCCGCCTCAAGTGCGAGGGCGTTCTAGGGATATCAGGGCCGGAAGGCGGAGGCAGGGACGCATATCCGGCAGCACCAGTGTAGGAAAAGGATGCGGTCCAGGTGGAAGTCGTCGAGGGTCGCCGGTGAAGTTGATGGTCCGAGTTGTGCGGTGACGGCGAAGTGTGATTAGAGTAGGACTGGAGCGAGACCAGGGAATCCCTCCCACGAATTGCTGCCGAATGATGCCCGTCGTAAGAAGGGCTCTCAAAATCGCTGACGTCGGACACGTTGGAACTCTGGTGCGCCAGTCGTGGTCTCTGCTGCGGCGCGTCTGGAGGTTGGTAAGAAGCACCAAAGCCTCTATTATGCGTCATTGTTTCCGGCGTGATTCATATCGGGACGGGTTGTCGTCTTCGCTATCGGAGGTATTTCTGTTGCCCTTGTCAAAGGTGGGCTTCCTCCGTGACTCGCGAATTGGCGAGGGTTGGTGTAAGTGCGCAAGGTAAGTCAAGGTTACTGTGAGTACGGGCGAGCGAACGAGGGGTATCAAGACAGGTAGCGAGCGTAAAAAGACCGGAAAGATGAGAGAAAGCTGAGAAGCCCAAAATCAATCACGCAAAGACAGGCATCTTGGTCTTTTTGTTGCCCAGCCAGAAATTAGGGGGGGAGAGAAGGGGATTGAGATGCTGGGGCACAGCTGAGAAGGGAGGAGAGCAGTTGTAGGGCTGCCGGGGGCGCGCTCTTTTCCTGGGGGATGTGCGATTGGACGAGGCGCAAGGAACAAAATGGAAATGAACGTCTTGGTCTGCAAGTCCGCAGACCGCAGGTCACAGTCCTTGAGTCCGTAGGAGTTCAGAGTTCACTCTCAGCATGGGGTCCACGCTAACCTGCCACCGGGCGAACTAAGGTGGTAGTGTGAAGATGACGGTTAGTTCAAGTCAGGGACTGCACAACGGGCAATGTCTCTCCAGGGGATAGATTGGCGTGGTAAGGCTGAGTTGAGGAGGAACTGGACGCATGGCGTGAGGTGTGAGGCACCCCAGGCGAGGAGGAATGATGGTGCCAGACAACCTGAGAGAGGGATCCTTCACCCGTCGTGAAAGCCGCAAGCAGGGTCTAAAGACATTTAACAGCATGGATCGATTATGGCTGCGGCTTCTGACGTTTCGTGTCTTGCCTGCTTACCTTACTATGTATCAACCAAAGTCCCCCTTCTTGAAGTCGGAACACACAACAAAGCACTCTGATGGAAATCTCGTTTCCATCTGCGATCCCAGGAAATGCGAAATGCAGGAGGGGTTGCCTCCGAGCGAACGGCCTGCCGGTCCAAGGGTACAGCGGCCATGTTCCCACAACTTCGGATGGCATGCCTCTGGTTGTGCCTGTGCTCCGTCCCTCGTCCAGATTAAGCGTCGCACTGACGGTGGGGGATAGACTTTCTCTCCTCCCAATCCAAATGCATGGGACTCCGAGCCGCAGAGCGCAAGCTTACAAACTCTTGTGTGTATGGAGTACGGGTAGGCTGTGTGACGGAGCAGGTATATTGCAATGTAGTGTACGGATACGGAGTGCGAAGTAGCTGTGAGCGGCGAGCCAACATTATTGCTGCCATCAACATGCAGGCCCTGCAGGACAAATCGATAGTCATTGACGCCCCCCTCCCACCCAGCACCCAGCACTCCGAGCCGCCGGACCTGATCTGACGCAGTCTTGCAGCAACGAGCTGCAGCTGACCTTCCAAGGTGACTGGCTGAGAGACAGAGGTCTTGGGGCTGCCTCTCTCTCGCTGCGGCTATTATTATTAGTATGCATGCCTGGGGCTATATTCAGCCCCCAGAGCCGGGATCGCTTCGCGGGGGGCGTCGCTTAAACTCCTGGCAGCGCGGAATGTTGCCGGGTCATCATCGATTACGAGCTTCTTCTGTTCACTCTGAACCCCTCTGAGGTTGTTGTCGATCTTCCGCTGCTTGCGATCAGTCCGGTCTCGCCCTTTCACCGCGACAGCAACTCAAACTGCCAAAGTATGTCTCACGGTCCGGTGCAATAGACAGGCCTAACTGAGAGACATGACCAGAAGTCGGGCAGGGGAAACATCCCGACGCAGGTGCCCGTGTGAACACGGCGTCGCTGTCGAAAGCCGGCCGTTTGTTCTTGTCAGGTTCCTCCTCATCCTGACCCAAGCCTTGCCGGCAGAGCCTCCCTTAAGAGATGAGCTTCTGATATGGCTGCCGCATGGACAATTTTTGTCGCAGAATACAAACTTGAGATTCTCTCACTCTTTAGCTAACCATCGTTCGCTTCTTGCTCTATCTCTTCATCTTCTTCGTCCTCGATCTGTTTGGTAGGGGGGTGGTGTTCGGCGTTTGGTGGGCCGCTCGGCTAAACTGAAGCCTACTTAGACACGCAAAGCTGAAGGATGTTCACAAACAACTGGTCGGTTAGCTCAGTTGGTTAGAGCGTGGTACTAATATTTCACCTGAAATGTTATGTAATGCCAAGGCCGGGAGTTCAAGCCTCCCACTGATCAATTCTTTTGTTTTTTGAGCATTTGTTTTCAATTTTTGCTCTCTTTCGACGATATCTTTCATATTTCCTCATTTTCTTTTGTCTCTTGTCGTCAGTTTGTTGTTGTGGCGGGTCGGGTTGACTTACAGGCAGAGAGGGTTCCAACCAAAGTCTACTTTCAAAGATCTTACACCGATTTGATACAACCACATACGCTCTACTTGGTCGTGCCATAATCACTTTCTTCTACTTTGATTATCTGTTTTGGAGTTATTGAACGCGGAGAAATAAGTACTGCTTCTTTGTCTTAGCCTCGTCCGCGAAAAGAAGATGACACTTTGGCGCAGCGTACAAGCTGGAACACATTGCCATGATTTCGTCTCTGTGTCGAGGAAACTCAGCGACCAAGAAAGTAAGTATAACTTCGTGTTTGGGCACTAGCATCCAAGGCCTAACGCTCGTCTATTGTCAAAGAGACAACTGATCACTTGCCTGTAGCCACGGCAAACCAACCCGTGTGCGCTATGTCTCTTGTTCCAACCATAAAAACCCTTATGCTTCACTTCCCTGACGATACTGAGGCCAGCCCGTTTCATACCTGAGATCTCATGAAAGGATCCTCCTATTGTGCGAAGAAATGAAAGATGACGAGTCTTTGTTGGTTGCTTATAACATATCATTTTACCTGTACGTTGCTGGTCATAAACGCCATACACCTATTGAGAAAATGAAACCGCGATGCGGAACAATATCGTAACTGGCTGTAGTGTCAGCCTCCATCCGTTGTCTACCGCGATAGCCTTTTATGGCAGGGACTGAAAGTTCAAGTAGAGGCATGATACTCGAGCTATCCTTTGGTTTGCTGATTGCATCCTCGTGTCCCAGACTTTTGGTAAATAACTTAGACCTTTGTACTAAGCCAATTAATGGAAACATCAGAGGGCATCCTCATACTTCTTTAGCACGATTCGATGTTTTATTATGCTCCTGCTGCCCTCTTGGTATCAACAAGCCAGCCGCTGGCATCCTCAACGTTTAGCAGTGGAAGGATGAAGTTCATTCTCCTCCTGTCGCCTACACCATGGCATCGGTAACTTACTCTGATAGAAAACCGTCACACCATATCTGGAGGCCTTGGCCCCCATATCACTGTTCAAAAGGGTTCCCCGCCGCGTCTGCCTGCGAAGCCGTCAGCGCCCACGACACGCTGCGTCATTACCATCCCTCTTCCCTTGCCCGAAATAAGAAGCATCCGGTAAGCGCCTCAAGGCTTATGAGAGGCAATCAGGCAACTAACAAGTCAACTTGGCCAAGCTGAGATGGTCGTTATCCTGGCATGTTCCTCCAAGGCGCCCGTGATTCAACCTAGGCCGTGTGGCCACATTTGATAAAAATCCCCTTCAATGTCACTCACCGAGAGCCAGCTGGACAGTCTAGTCGGCATGAGAGAAAGGGATTTACCTAACTTGAATGCTAAACAAACATTCGAATCGAATTCTTTCTTGGAATACAGAGCTAGTATGGGGACCAACTCACACACAAATCCTTAGGTACATCATCCAACGTCAAATTATTCAAGCCAAACAAATGTCGGTCGGGAAAGAGAGAGGCAATATCTTGTCCGATTCCGCGAAGACATTGGTCTAGAAATGACGCCTCATCGAGACACGTCTCGCATGATACGCGTAATATCGATACATTAGATATCACCCAGTAGAGTAAGAAAACGTTGCAAGTTGAGAAGCGCAAATGCTGGCAAGCCGCCTCTAGGTAACCCTCTATGTTACCTCGGTGACCTGCCGTGCCATGCTGATGATGTATTATTCCGTCACTTACAGGCGGATGTCTATTCCGATCGTCTTATACGGTAAAGGAGCCGGTAGCCTCCGGGCTCTTTTCCACCTCCGTTTTGCCCCTCTGTCTTGCTCTGAAGCTATACTTTACTTTGTGTTCATCATACCAAGACCCCCTCCTCGCTATCAGGAAAGCACCTCTCCAGCAACCTCTCGCGATGCCTCACAAGAGCAGGAAACTCGCGCAGAATCTCCGACAGCGACTCGTCCACCCAGCCAAACTCCTCGTCGAGCAGCAGCTGCGTGTACGAGAAGACAGACGCGTCAAACAGCGTCGGGCCCTCGCAGCCAAAGAACCACTCACCACCACCACCCTCCCCCCCCTTTTCTGAGTGACTACTACTTCGACTGCTGCCGTTCTCCTCCAGCAACGCAGCAAGAGCCTCAAACGCGGCGCGCGCGTCAGCGTGTACCCTCTTCACATCCACCACCGCGCTCCTCGTCACCTTCAACACCTCAGCCTCGGCCGCCGCGCGGACCTGGTGCGCGAGCGTCAGCCTGACGACGGGGTTCTTTGACGCCGGCTCGATGTAGAGTCGCGACAGGAGGTCCGCGTTGGCGGGGGCGAGGTAAAGGGCGTATAGCCAGGCGGCGCGGAGGCGGTGGTCCAGTAAGGACTGGTAGGCTTGTTCGCGGGCCTTGAGCTCCGCGTCGGGCGCGGAGGAGGTCGAGAAGGAGGAGGAGAGCACGGGCAGCCTCTTGAGGGTTGTGTTTTCTAGGGCGTAGGATTCGAGTTTCGAGGGGCCGGCGATGGGGCGGAGAGGGGAGGGCGGGAGGAGGTAGGGGAGGGCGCCGGAGGGGGAGGCGTGGTTTGTTGAGGGGGCGATGTGGAAGTCTACGCCGGCGATTTTGAGAAAGGTCTGTTTGGGGGGGGGGGAGGGTTAGCCTGATGCTGCGTGCAAAGACGGAGGACGAGTATAGGCAACGGCGGGCATGTCGCCAGGGAAGAGGAGGAAGACATCGAAACGAACCTGCCACTTTAGACACGAGGGGTTGAAGCTCGGTCGGCCCCTCGGGGCATCGTCGTCCGCGATGAAGACGTATAGTGTCGGCGTGTCGCCGCGGGAGGGACTGCGGAGGGGTAGGTCGTTGGCAGGGTAGACGGCGAGGGGGAAGCGTCGGAAGAGGGCGGCGACGGGGGCCGGGACGGCGAACCAGCTTCTCGGGGCGTTGTCCGGCATGATGGCTAGCTTGCGGCAGCGGCGTTGGCGCCGGAGGTAGCTTGCTCTCGGTGAGGCCGATGCGGTCGATGATGAAGGCGGGCGGGCGGGTAGGAGTCCCGGGCGTGGGTGTGGTTGGGAGGGATTGGATGGAACGGAGAGCTCCCGTCGTATGACGCGGGGAGATTGAGCCGAGGGTTGTGGAGGTCGGGTGTCCGGTAGACGGGGCTCGGTGGCGGGGTGAGCTGCGGGATGGGATGCAGAGCGAGCTCGGGGGAAAAGATGCGGCGCCGGTGCGTGGCTGGTAGGTGTGATTTGCCCTGGGAGAAAGGGGGACGAGTGGGAGCGGTGCGGCGTGCGGCGTGCCTCGGTCTCGCGGAATGGCGGGGCGGTAGGCTGTAGCTACCTTACTCAAACTTCAAAGTTGGGCCTGAGGTCAGGGAATCGGTATACTCTACAGCTCGTGGTTTGGTTGGTCGGCTTCATGAGATTTGATGGAGACGTCCGTTGTTCCGTAAGGTATTCGTGTGGTTGTACAATTATGCCCGTCGCGATGCGCAACTTTCTACACCGCCCATCCTGTGTCTTCGGAGTAATTTATCGCTTCTCCATGCGAGATAAGGGGTCTTTGCTCCCGAAGTCTACTTTCCCGCTCCTCCTCCTCCTCCTCCTCAATTTTCTCGGCGCATTCGGGGCGAGACAGGGGCATAAAGTGGATGGTGCCAGAACTTGCTACCTTAGTGTTGCATGAGGGTTTTTATTTCTCCTTCTCGTTGCCTTATCCCACTCTTACTCTTGAATATGGCCATGGAGACGTTGAACCATGGACCATGGGCCAGTGGACAGCAAGTGCATGAATGGACGCCCGTTTGCTGGTTTGAATAAGGCTACCGGGACAGCTGCAGGAGAGCTGCAGCCGTGTCCAGCGGCCGTCCAGTCAGTTACGGATACTCTGCTGCAGCTGGGAAGACGGAGCGGGTTTGCGGCGCCGTGGATGGACCCTGAATTTCTTGTGACATCCCTGCCTTTGGCTGTATTGCGGTATGCCTCTTCTTTCTGAATCTGCCCTCGTCCCCGATGCAGCTTTTGATTGACACGAACATATCCGTAGCAATGCTTTTCTTGCAAGTACTCCGCATATTGGCGGGTCACTTGGGCTCAAGTCCCGGTCATCAGACTGGAAGAATTCCCATATGTCACTGGCTGGAAAGTTCATGGGAATCTCGCTCAAATTCCAGAGTTGCCTGCCTCGGCGGCGGGGCGATATCGGCGTGCCCCGGAACTTGGAAGAACTGCCAAATGATAGCGTGCCCTCGGTCGGTCCAAGGTGAGTGGCTGCGGATCAACCGCGGTGAATTTCCCAGATCCGAGAGACCTTCTAGCGGGTGGGGCTTCAGGTTCTGCGTCTTCCTCTTCTTCTCCGGGGAGGGGGGGTCGCAAGGTGACCCTCGGTACTTTCGGTCAAATTCCTCGCCCAATTCCCAAATGGGCCTCTCCTACCGCCGTTACGGGTTTTCCGCCCGTCAGCAATCCATCCTCAACCAGTCGACGGCTTGTCACTTTTGACGTGGTTGCAGGAAGAAAGCTGACCCGCCCGCAGGAACAATGTCCGTCACGGCGGGCACTCACACCGGACACTGCCCGGCAAGCATTGAGCCATTCCTTGAAAAGGTTGACAGGAGCCATGACGGCCAGGCACAGAGCACTACGTATTGACATGCCAGATAGGAAGATCGCGCGACTCGTGCAGAACATGCAAGTGTATGCGCCTACGCCAGCGCCGACGCTATTACAGAGGGGAAGCATGGCCCATCGATCGATTCCATCCCCTCCACACCTCTTTTGATGGCTCTGGACCTTGTTGGGCACCTCGTTCAATTTTTGCTTCGACGCTTGCCGAGCAACTCCTCGGCGAATTGACTCGAACACTGGCGAGCTAATCGGAAGTTGAGGCCGTCTACCACGGCGACTACCTTACACTGGACATGCGTTGCTACCAAAAGTTGAGGTTGACCTGCCACTGCCCGCCTACCTTACCTAGGTAGCTTCGACTAAAGCTGCATGGTCCTAGGCGATGGGCTAGGAGGAACCTTCCCAATCCAAACTGTCGTCAACTTGTTCGTCCGAGACTATGCTGTTGCGCATTTGGCTATTCGTACGCATGCTGTGGAGGGCCAGGTTCCGAATGCTGCGTTCCAAGAATCGACGTGAGGGAGGATCCTGATCAAATTTTTTGTCAATCAGAAAAGAAACGCACAAGGCATTCAGGCAAGAAAGAAATTTTGCCATTCTCCGGCATATGGATATTGCATGATTCTCGCCCTTGGATCAGAAGAGAGTGGTCCAACATGAACATCATCCTGCCGCGGCCTGTGTTACCTCCCGGGATATTCTCATGCCGAAGGTATTCCGAAGCCTCGCATTTGGCTGGAGCGACTCAGCGAGGACGTTTTGGCGGGGCAGCCGTGGGGAAAGCATTTTTTTCCCTCTCTTCCAAAGTGGGACACGTTTGTCAAACGTGGGAGATCTCCGTCCCGAGATTTTCCGTTGCTTGAGACCAAAGCCCACTGCCCAGAGGGTCCCCAGACGGGAAGCATGCCGCTAGGATGAAGCGAGGTCGGAAAACCAAGCGACGGAGGGGCGGACATGCGCGTTCGACGGTCGCTCGAGACGAAGAAAAAAAAAGTTAAGGCGAGGCGCCGAAGAAGCTAGTTGTCTTGTGGGGTGGAAAGCCTGGAGAGTGCCACAGAGAAAACGGATACGCCGTCAACATCGTTCGGTTCTTCTTCACATGTCTCCACCGAAGCCGGCATCTCCTAGGATGCTCTCGGTGATAGGTGTCGGCAGCATGGAGTCTGATGGACCAAGTTCAAGACCAACAACAACCGTCGCCACTTCTCCAGCCCCAAATTTCTTACCTTACGTGAGTATCCACGACCACGCAACGTAAGGAGCAGCGGGAAGCCCAGGCAGAGAAGTCTTTTGCGAATACGTCAACCGCCAACGGTCCTTTGCGCACAGCCATCCCGCGAAAAGTGAGGCAAGAGGTGCCTGCTCAACCAAAGAGGCAAGAGCTGACGAAGACGAAGGCTTCAGCCTTCATGAATTGGAGGGATCAATGTGGAAGGCAGAGGAGCAGAGACTGGGGGAAATCACAAGCAAAATGGAAAGAGGCGTCTTGAATCAGGAGCCACCAGATCTTCCATCGTTTTGAGTTTTGGCAATCGCTCGCAGCTTCCCCGGCTTTTCTCTTTGTGTTGATGGAGATGTTGGAACAAGTTCAAGGCTTGTGATTTTCCCCCTCCCCTCATGGAGTTCTCCCCCGCAATCCCGTTCAAGATAGAGTTCAGCCCGCATCAACCCAGCACCGCGAAACCACCTCACCTTACCTTAAGGCTTGTGCTTGGTATTCGAACCGCAGCAGCAAGAGGCACGGTCGTTGCTCTTCTATATGACTGCCCTATCTACTCTAGCCCATCTCTGAGGACCATCCTCCGTGGCGGGATACTACATCATCCTAGTCGAGCCCGTGATCGAGTATCTCGCACTGCATCGCATTACATCGCATCGTCCGCTTCCGCCTGCGTCTCTCAGTCATTAATCCGTTCATTCGCCAGAAAGGAAAGACATTCCGCAACTGGGCAGGCCAATATCCGTACTGTGCCTATGATGGACGGGCCTTGATGGGCGTGGGCACACAATCACATAGGCTGGTACGGATAGCGCAATCTTGGTCCTCCCCCAAGTGGAGCAGAGCATGTCATCGTCGGGCTGTTGTCTCCCTCGTCCTAGGCCGAAATCGAACGAGGCAGGGCTTCCGTGCATTGGCTCTTGAGCTTCTTTCCCAGGATCACACAGCCAGGGGCGGTTTGATGCGATCCAGTACCATGCGGAGAAACGGCCCAGAGTCTCTCGCTGACGGCGCATCAAGGGAAAAGCAGACACGCAGGTACCGATACATGGGGAGCCGAGGCCACCCCCATGCTTCCAGCCCAGGCCCATTATGACAACCTGCCCCCCAGGAACCAGCACCAAGGCACGCCGCACCATGACATGCTGCCTTTTTTTGTGAAGAGTTGGCTCGACGGATACCTACCCCACACTGCGAAACGCTCGACGGCGAGAAGGCCGACCTCTCTCCTCCGTTTCCGCCGCTCAGGATTCGCCCATTCCAGCCTGTCAAGCACTGTGAGCGTGTGCTTCCGAACCTGCCACAGCGGTCGCTCGAGCCGCTGATCCGCAAAGACCCTGAAGGCCTTTTGGCCTTTGCTGAGTCGCGAGACGAGGTGCAAATCCCCTTCCCCCCGCCTTAGATGGGGGAAGATGTATCGGTACTTGGCACATGGAGGCCCTCAGTTACTGCTTTTGGCGACGTTTACCGCGAGGCTTTACGCCTGACGCTTGTGCCTCTGCAAGTACCTCCCCGCAATGACAAACATCAGGTCAAGCTGGCTGCTGGCTGTTGATCTGGGCTGGGCCATGCTGGGTCGTAGGAGGTGGCTATTGGGGTTGATGGACAAGTATGCGTCGTCGTCTCCTTGACGAGGCAAAGAGAGGAAGCCGAGGCGATACGATAGCCGAAGAGAGTGAGGAAGAGAAAGAAGGAAACCATGCAGACGGCGGTTCGGCGTCATACCAAGCTCTGGCGCATTCATTCAACCTATCCACCTCCATCTTCGGACCTATTATCGCGGCTCCAGGATTTGGTCGGGTCCAGGGCATAGAGCGTCATGAATTAGACGGCGGGAAATAACGTGAAGACGTATGGAGTATCGTCCCTCTTTTTTCCCTTCCCTCTCAGTCTTGCTCTGCTCAGCGGGGAGAGGGAAGGGGGAAAAAAAGAACTGGAGATAAGATGGATTCTTCAACCGCGGCTACTCTCCGTAACCGTGTACACTTACTTTGGCAAAGTAAATAACCCAACTCGGACAGCCATCTCGGTCTTGCATCGGTAGATGGGAAAAAGCAGAAGACACACACACTCGCGCGCGCACACACACACACACACACACCTGATATTGTTCTTTTTATCCTCTCGACTCGCCCACCCCAAGCTTTCCTGGCCCAATTACCACATTTATCCTATCCCTCCCACACTCCTCCCACACTTTTAACTGTTTAACCACACCCACCCACGCTCCTTGTCTGGATCAAAAGCAAGTCAACTGGACAACCCGCGAACCAACCCCAATCAAAGACAAGCCCATCACATCATCACTCGCACACCCACACAAACCCGCACGAGCTGTCTGTCCTCTACTTCGTACTTCGTACACAATAGACTACTCGCTCCAGCCTTCTTTCGGCTCAGAATCATACATACACTCAAGCAAGGAAACGCTGCTGCTGCTACCACCCACACTATCCCGCATACCTACGCAAGCCCGCGTCGACTACCGACTCACACTCGCCTTATTCTGTCCTCCAGGCCCGGCTCAGCTGCTACACACTCGAACGATATCCCACACATAAGAGTCGCAACATCCCTCCGCGCCTGACTGTGGTATCGCCGATCCCCCTTCTGCCTGTCTCACTTCTGCGAATTACTCTCTCCCTCTCCCTCTTTCTATTTTGCCAAAAAAGAGAAACCAAAACTTGGCCTGCCTCCCGCTTTGTTATCTGCCTCTCACGCGCTCACTCGCTTGCTCGCTCAATCTATCCACCGACTCGTTTGGCCTTGTTACCCGCTGCCGGAGCAAGGGTTGGTAATCCGCAATCGCGCCGAATTCCAATATTGCCCATCCAATATTGTTGCAAGCAAAGACAAGCGGTCCCGCAATTATAGCCTGTCACCGACAACCCAGGGTCGTCCCACGATCACTTTAAACCAGCCGCCGTCCTCACCCACACACCCCACGCCTCACGGCATTCCCGCTGCTCGTTACTTGGTCTTAAGTAAAATCTCAGACACCACACGTACTTTTTCGTGTCTACTCCGCACTCACCGTCGACTATCCTTCCTTTTTCACAAAAGGGGTTCTTCCGCACCTTCACTCCTGTCGGACATTTCCCATTCCACCCTTCTTAGCTTCTTGATCCCGCCTTTCCCTCCTCCCCACCCCCCGCCTGACATCACCTACTTTTCAGGTACCTGTGCTACTTGGGGTCTCACATAAAGAGTCAAGATCTGCGCTCCGAAATCGAAGATCTGGGGAATAGGTATAATACCACCAACCATCCATCGCCCCCTTCTCGGACCTTGGTTCCTGGTCCTACGCAGCAATCATCCCACACCCGAATACTCCAACCTTCTCTCGTCATTGAGAGAATCGTATCACAACCACAATAACATCTCGAAAATCGTCACCATCACCCACCACGCCACCGCCCACCATGAACGCACCAATCCAGTCTCCCAAGCGCCAGGACTCCACGTCCTCCATCTCCTCCTCATCGTCGCACATGTCCACAAACCAAATGATGGCGCCACCCCAACCCAACAGCCAGCAGCCCCCTTCAACCGAGGCCTTCCTCCGCGACTTTACACTCGTCGCCGAGGCCGCAAAACGTGCCCAGATGGCCGTCATGATGCGCGACTTTGAGTCTTGCGGGCTCTCATAGATGGATGCCGCATTCTGTTCGGTTCACGCAAAGAAAGAGTCCGAAAGCGACCGAGCTTTTCCCATCGTCCCGGGAAGCTTTTTCTCCAACTGGCTCAGACCGTCATTTTGAGGAACGAATACTCCGAATTTCATCGGATGAGAGGACCCCGCTGAAACGCTGTTACGGGGCCGAGAGGGAAACCGAGGCACCGCGCCAACGCTTCGGCGGAGTCGGGGCAGAGGGGGACCAGGGCGAGAGAGAGTTTGTCGTGTCATTGAACCGACGACACTGGACTCCCCTTAGCTCTTCTTCCCCTCACCAGATTCAGTCACTGGCGTGGCCTTCCTCGGTCCATCTCTTCCCTTTCCTCTCACTCACTCTCTCACTCGCTTTCACTCTTCACCCGCTCGCTACACAACATTTAATCGACATTGAAGTCTCTGGGGAACTCTACACGGTTTCGCATTTCTTCTCGGTGATTAGAGGCGGGGATAGACAAAGACTCATCTCATCGGGTTCATCTCACTGGGGTTTTTCATGATAAACACACGCAACCACACTACTACACATTCACACAACAACTGGCGTATACGGAACAAATGGGGGGCATCATTGCATTGCGGGAAATTTCGTTTTGATATCACGAATATTTTGGAAAGGACACGACTTTTGGCGTTTTTGGGAGGGAAGAAACCTGGGCGTCTATTACGACCCAGTTGAATTGGATTCCGCTCACCATTTTATTATTTACTGTTTTTCCTGTATGAATACCACTGAGGAGGACAAATGGTCTTACCTAGATCTTGCTTTACAAATTCTATCTACAAAGAAATATGGCCAGTCTATCTGGTCTTTTCTCAATACTCTTTTGGGTTACAGATTGCGGTATCTCCAATGTGACATGGCCTCAATGATTGACTGCCGTTCGCTCTCATCTTTCTTTACATATTCTCGCCGTAATCCTGAGCTCGTAAGAATGAACAAAACTCTTTGATGAGACTTCCATCTACACACTTCTACTGTCCCAAATATGACTCCCCCTAACGCCCGTCTCACAACTTGGAAGCCAACACAATTCCACCATCAACAGTAATCGTCGCCCCGGTCACGAACGCGCCCGCCCGTCCGCTCAAGAACAGACACGCGCCCGCGACATCCTGCGGCGTCCCGATCCTCCGCATCGGAATCTCCTCCTCGATGGTATCGCGCATCGTCTCGAGCGTGGCCGCCATCATCTTGCTCTCAAACGGCCCGCAGGCCAGGGTGTTGCTCGTGATGCCCCTGGGCCCCAGTTCCCTGGCGAGCGCGCGCGAGAGGTGGTGGAGGCCGGCTTTGCTCGCGCTGTAGGCGTACGAGGAGATCAGGGGCACGCGGAGGCCGTCTACGCTGCCGATGTTTATGATGCGCGACGGGTCGCCCGCGCCGGAAGCGGCTTCGAGGAGGGGCGCGGCGAGCTGCGTGAGCGTGAAGACGCGCTGGAGGTTCAGCGTCAGGAGTTTCGTCCAGGCGGCGTCCGGGTACGTTTCGAAGGCGTCGCCCCACGCCGCGCCCGAGTTGTTTACGAGGACGTGGAGTTTCCCGCCCGTCTGCTTGGCGAGCTCGTCGACGAGGCGTTTGCAGTCGTCTAGCTTCTGGAGGTCGGCGGGGATGGCGTGGCATTTGCCCGGACCTTTGGCGGTGAGGGCGGCGGCGGAGGCGGAGCAGGCTTTTGCGTCGCGGGAGGAGATGTAGACTGTTGCGCCGTTTGTGATGTAGCCTTCTGAGATCATGTAGCCTATTCCTTTTGCGCCGCCTGTTACGAGGATGTTTTTGTCCTGGAGAAGGGGGGGGGGGGTTAGCTTGGTGTTTGAGAATTTGACTTTGGGAATTGTCGAGGATGTGGATAAGGACGAGGACGAGGGAGAGGGAGCTTGATCTTTACCTTGACGTTGAAGAGCGATGCGACATCCATTGCTGCTGATTTCCTACTATTTCGTTGGGGAAGATGGGAGTTGTTGCTTTAGCTTTACTTCCGGTACAGGACAATTGACAAGTTGAAACGACCAAGTTGGAAACAACACAATCGAATCTGAAAGAGGACCGAGAGATGTAGATGTAGAACGATGAAAGACAAGGGTGCGGGAGCTATCTTCGGCTGATATGAGAAGGAGAGCAGCTTTCGGGGTGCGGTCGTCTGAGCTTCCCCAGCTGCGAAAAATGAGCCGAGGCTCACGGTCGTTTGGAGGGGTCTAGGCCGAGGGCGCGTCCCCCGATCCCCCGATAAGGGGTACATTGCTTCTTACCCCGGACTGCGCTGCGGGGAAAGTATACTGCATCTTTTATCACGCGACACCGACTCCAAGGTACAAAGATGCGACATTGGGAGCTTGAAGTTTTCCTGCATTACCTACATATTGTATACGTGAAGCTGCAGTCTTGATGTGAAGTACTCAACGTATCCTGTTCCATGGTTCACGAACCTCGCATGTTTGTGCATTTCAGTAATATCGATTACTTATTTGTTCAAATACCTCAAAGAAAGGCAAAACTATGCTAATCTGACAGGATTGCCTGTTCGTCTCTACTTAACTATCCGTTTGCCCAAAAGTCTATTGTCATGGTCATCCGATTAAACCGCAACCACCAACGCCATTGCTCAATTTCAAATCCGTTGTTCCGTGCCGGCGACGGAGTGCTGATGCTGCCGGGCTCGAGGTCTCTTACGCAGTGGTCGGTATCGATACTTCATCTGCACAAGAGCCATGAGGAGCACATGTACTATCCAAGTATAACCACTTGTACGAGGTTGCGCGATGGATGAGACCGCCAACGCCACCGACGTTTCTCCATGCTCGTCAACATGATATCTCACACGTAACATCTACGACGTCGACGACCTCGGGCTGCGCTTTCTCATAAAAGCCGGCAGCCTCGACGGCTTCTCACCGCTCTCAGTCGTGTTAGTCGTCTTCTCCGGCGTAGTGCTCGCCCCGCCGGCAGCAGCAGCGGCGGCGGCAGCCTCCCTCTCTTTCCTAGGCGAGCAGCAGCAGCCCATGGCCATGTGGAGGATGGCGGCGAGGTCGACGAGGGCGCTGGCGAGCCACATGAAGACGAACATGCGCACGCCGAGGACGGCGTTGATGTTGAGCTCGGACTGCTGGGTGAGGGCGATCTTGGCGCCGACGCTCATGACGGTGCCGATGATGGAGGCGACGGTGACGAGGAGGCCCGTGATGGCGGCGAAGATGGCGATGGGCAGGCTCCACCAGCGCGAGCGCATGACGAGCGGGGTGACGATGAGGAGGGCGGCGGCGAGGGAGATGCCGGAGATGAAGAGGCCGAACATGACCTGCTGGCCGATGCGGAGGATGTTGAGGATGGTGCTGACCTCGGAGGGGAGGGCGATGGTGGCGCCGGCGAGGAGCTCGTTGGTGAGGATCTCGATGGGGTTGAACCACCACATGCGCTGGGGGGTTGAGCAGAAGGTGACGCCCCTGGTGATGGCGTGTTAGTACGTTCGTTCCTACGATTGAGACACCTGGGGGCACTTACTCATCGTTGTAGCCTTCGCAAAAGTTCCAGAGACCGACTTGGTAAAAGTCGTGGAGTCCCAGGCTGCGGGCTACGGAGTTGAGGAGGACGGCGTTGGCCGAGGAGAGCGGGATGATGTCGGAGACATCGAGTTTGAAGAAGTAAATGTCCGTCAGAACGGGCTTGATGGAGGTGTTGCCGATGATGACGAGGATGAGGAAGATGATGGCGATGAAGTAGCAGACGGCCGCGGTGATGGCGCTGTTCCGGCGGACTTTGGCCATCGTGAGGGTCGTTATTCGGAGCTTGAGTTTTGGAGAGGAGGATGACTGCGGTCGTCGTAGGAGGGCGGACTTGGAACCGGAATCTGGGACCCGGTGATGATGGAGTACAGTATACGGAGAGTCTCTCCTCTCTCCCCAGATATCTCACGTAAATGCGTATGTGAGGGCAAGATGACGCGGTAAAGTCACCGGAGCTCTCTCTCTAACTTTGCCGATGGTCCGGAGAGGGAACGAAAAAAGGGAACTGAATAATACCAGGGGGACTCGTCCTATTCAGCGATCCAGGCGCGGCCGTACTCAAGAAAGCCGTCCGTAATCCAAGAGAATTAGGCGTAGGCGTAGGCGTCTCGTGCCAAGGGGCTATGATGCGAAAAAAGGGAATCGGCCCTACGTGTGCAAAAAGGTTGGCGGAGCGGAGAGGAGTCGGGAAGCCAAAGAAGGACCAGAGACGGATAATGACGATGAGCGTCAGGAAGCTAGCTCGACTGATCGAATCCACTCGGCAATTTTGTGTCTGGAAGATGGAAAAGGAACAAAACAAAATGATTCCAGACCAGGCCAGGCCGTCACAATAGATTCGATGGAGTACTCCGTAAACACCCCTGGACTCTGGAGCCCTGGTGGTTGGTAAATACGGACAAGGCGTCAAAGACTCAAGGAAGAAGCAGGGCCAAGACACCGGAGCCAAACCTGGATGGATAGATGGACAGATAGAGAGACGAGAGAGGATAACCAGAGCGGGACGGGTCTGATTGAGTTGGCATAAACCCAGGCGTATCGCTGTTCTCCGGGGGGTTGCTTTCTGTGTAGAGGCTGAGGATGGTCCAGGTGTTTGCATGGGTCACTGACAGCCGGACAGGGAGAATGACGTCGTAGCAACCAATATCTTTTTATTTTTTCTCTCTACTACACTATTTTTCCCTCTCTTTCTGCTGCTACTGCTGCTGCTGCGTTTTCTGCATTGGATCATCCCAGCGTTTTTCTTGCTAGCGGCGCGCCACGGCTAGCGGGTCCGTAGGTATCTAAGTGGGACTCCGCTGCCTCATTCCAGGTTGTGCGGTGGGTCCATCCACCTCATGTTTCCAAGCTGCCGTCCATCTCCATTTCGTCTCACTCACTCACAGTCGCTCATAGTCACAAATTCACGGTCTTTTCACAGACAAGAACTCAACTCAATGGATAGAACACACAGACTCTCCAGTGACGGCACAGACGAATGGAGTGCAGTAGTCGATAACTGCATACTGCAGCATCGTGGCTCACCTCGGGGCTACTCCTCGGGGCGTCAAAAAGGGGGAGAGAGACATCAAGTCCCGTGGCACCGCCGCGAGATCAGGTATCCGTACGTCAGTACCATTCTCCATCCAGAACAAGACCCCAAATGCCTTTCCAGTTTCGGGTTCCGAGGGGCCGTCTAAACGAGCTTCGCGCGGCCCCCATACGGATACCCGCAACCACCACCGTGACCACCCCCATCCCATCTGCCCATACTTGGCACAGCACCGCCTCCAAGCCTCCGTCGACGAGTTCCAGCCAACCGGGCCGTTGTGCCACTCTCTCCGCGGGCGGGCGATCTGTATCGTCCTGTGGGATTTGTAGCCACTCCTCAGCTGAAGTGGGATCATCACGGTTGACAGCGGTTACTAAGCGCAAAAGGAAGTTCGGCAAGCCACTCGAAATGCAAATGGAACAGCAACAACGCAACAACGACAGCAGCCCAACCCACGACCCATCAGCAAACCAGGTGCGTACCTAGAGCCGGACGGCGGCTGTGTGAAATGAGATTTCAATGGGTGGATTTCTGGTTGGCTAGGGCCGCTTTCTCCTTGTTGCACCATCGATCCGACTCCCGGGCCCCGTACGCATGTCCCCCGTCCCGCCTTGTGTCTCCTGCAGGTTGCATTTCTCTTCTTCCTATTCGCGCAGATAGATATACGTGTATTGTGCTCATGATGCTCATCGCTGAGGCATATCCAAGGAGAATGACCCACGGAGGAGGGGTGTCGAGGTGTTTCTCTTCCAGGGACCAAGTCAGAAATAGTTTGAAAATTCCCCGTCGTAGCATCCAAGGGTCACGATCCCAGCAGGGACCCAGATAGATGTCTTGACCTAAACAAACGAAATGAGGATGGGCGGCAAGTGTTGAGCCTAAAACTCTGTTTTTTTTTTTCTATTACCCTTTTTTTCGATCTTCCTGATCTACCTCTCAGCCTCAATGACGATGGTCTTCGATGACCATTGTCCATGTTTTTCCAGCTTGCCGGATCTTTGTTTTGCAAACATGACGAACAGTTTGGATTTCTCAGATTCCAAGGAGACAAAGGCGCGTCCAGCAGGGCCATCCTGCACGCGCGTCCGTCCCCGCCACGCCGGCACAGGAGCCGGTGATCGCCAGGGATATCCGTATAGGGCCCCCGGTCCATGGTTTTCTGCGCTGTCCTTTGCCGCAAGCCACAGCCGCAGATATGCAGTGGTACCGTAAGGTAGTCGGTCTGGTATGGATGGGTAGATGGAACGGCGCGTCCATGACTTGACCTGCTGGCCATCTGTTGTATCGGGATTGTTGGTGGGTTACTTCCAGTCAATGTCTCTCAGTCTCTTGACAGCCTCTCTCAACATGCCAAATACAGTCACCTGCTGCCTGCTTGCAGTATACGCACAAAACAAATGTGACAGATAGGTTCCAATGACATGACTGCGTGACCCTGTCGAGCTGGAGCTGCCGATGAGATGACCAGCAGGGACCCGGCACATCCCCAGCGATCCTCGCAGCAGCTTCCGGTGTTGGTGGGTCCGTCTTGATGGGGCTCTGTGCTCCTGGTATCCACTACCAACCTGGCTAGGTAAGGTAGCTACATGGGGCCCGGTACCCCCTGCCAGTTTGGCGGTAGCGCCGTATGGGGCCTGGGCCACCACCCCTCCAAGCCTCCAAGGCGTGCCGCAGGCCGCAGGCTGCAGAAAGAATGTCTGGGCCACCCCGGGAAAAACGAGGAAGGAAATACACAAATATTATGTCATAGCTGGACGTAGCTGGACGTGTGCGAAGTCTCGACAATTGGCACCAAGGTCCAAGGAAATAATCGTCTCCTCTAGACTCTAAACTCTAGAATCCAGGCTCTCGTTGCTGGCTGGCGCAACATTGGCAAACGACCGCACCTTTCCTCTCTCATATGTGAAATTCTCGACCATTTCTTTCCGCCTCCGCCGTTGCGTGACGAAGAGAAAAACGCCTCGAAAAAGAGTATACTAGGCACCCTAGTGTGCTTCTGCTTCTCGGCGGTATTTTTTGCTTGGGGATCGTCATCGAAACTCTCCTCGTCCGATAACCGTTTTTGGCTTCTGTCTCCCGTCTCCCGTCCCTCGCCCAACTCAAATTTCTTTCCCCCGAGGGTCGCACTGTGGTCATTGCGTCTTGCAGCCATCCCAGACTCTCTCGAAGTCTACTCCCAGACCTCGAATAACATACAACCATATCGAGCCCGCGAAACCACCCCTACCTTACCTTACCTGACCATTCCCTCGAGAAGCAACAACAACACCACGATTTCCCTTCCCTTTCCTCGCGGCCACTCCACCAACAAAGTCCTCGCCAGAGAGGCTGCCTCGCCCAGCATGACAGGACCACTCTTTGCCCTCTCCCTCGGGCTCCTATCCCTCTTCACAGCCCAAGCCGCAGCGCAGGACCAAGTCAGCACGAGCACATTCACCCTCTCCAACACCGACGACGTGACTTTCCTCTCGGGAACCAAGACCGTCGCAGTCACCCAGCCCAGGACCCCAACGGGTCCCTACGCAACCTACACCTCGAGAATCACCCTCACAAATGGAGACCTGTCGACCATGACCGGGACCATGACGGTCACCGGCAACGTCACGCAAACCACCACAAATTCCGTGGGCCAGTCCGTCGTCATCATCTCGGGCCAGACCTCCGTCGTCACCTCCACCATCACCGGCACCGGCACCGATGCCAATGCCACCCAGACCGAGACCGCACCCGCCGGCCCGACAAACACACAGCCCTGCAACAACTACGTCGAGTTCTGCGACCGCAAGTACAGCAACGTCACCGAGGTCGGGTGTCACAACTCCCCCTTTGTGCGCCCCGGGAACTCGGCCTCCAACCAGGCTCTCGATGTCACCACTCAGCTCAACGACGGCATCCGCTTCCTCCAGGCTCAGATCCAGTGGCCCACGAACGGCACGGTACCGCACTTTTGTCATTCTTCCTGCGATATCCTCGATGGTGAGTTTTCTCTCAAGACAAAAGCTTCATTTTCAAAGAGCCAGTAGCTAACCTTGTTCCGCAGTCGGCCCCATCACCGAATGGCTCACCACCGTCCGCGAATGGGTCGCCTCTCACCCGTACGACGTCGTCACCATCCTCCTCGGCAACGGCAACTACTCCACCCCGGACCTGTACGCCCCCTTCATCGAGTCAACCGGAATCCTCCAATACGCCTACCAGCCTCCCTACCTCCCCATGAGACTCGAAGACTGGCCCACCCTCTCCCAGATGATCTTGGGGGGCAAGCGCGTCGTCATGTTCATGGACTACATGGCCGACCAGCAGAAATTCCCCTGGCTCCTCGACGAGTTCTCCCAAATGTGGGAGAGCCCCTTTGACCCCATGGACCGCACCTTCCCCTGCACCGTCCAGCGCCCGCCCGACCTCTCGCAGGAAGCCGCCCGCGACCGCCTCTACCTCATGAACCACAACCTAAACGCAGAGTACAACATCTTCGGCGCCTCCATCCTCGTCCCCGCCGTGTCGTTGTTGAATTCGACAAACAACGCCACCGGCAACGGGTCCCTCGGCGGCGCGGCCCAGAACTGCACCCGCGACTGGGGGTTCCCGCCAAAGGTGCTCAATGTGGACTACTACAACTACGGCGACCCCGAGGGCTCCGTCTTCCAGGTCCAGGCTAAGATGAACAATGTCACGTACACGCGCGAGTGCTGCGGCAAGGTTACCGGCGCGTCGCCCGGCCGGCCGACTGCCTCGGCATTGGTGCTGGGTTTGGCTTTCGCCTGCGCCCTGCTGCTGGTCTAAATGGCTGACGTAAAGTTTTAATGTCTTTTGATAAATTTCCGGTTTCACGCAATGGAAAGCATGTCTGGCGTTTTGGGGGGCTTGCTTAATGCATAGACGGCTTACATGGAGGCCAGAGGGTATTTCACCCTGGTAAATTGTATGGTCATTTTTGGAGGCATGATTACTTTACAATAGGATGCTGTCATGCGAGGCTTGCCACTGCATATAAAATACAACTACTATATTGACTATGCCAGAATCTTCGTATGTTCATGAAGTTGACATTAGCTGCTGCCAGGGGATGGTGGCCATGACTGATTGACTCCTCTTTGGGAGAATACGATTGTGAACCTGACCAACTCATAACTAGACAACTACATGGCGACCACAGAAGAAGTCTTATCAACATTCGACTCCGAGATGATCATGACGAGATACAGATACCTGCCTCCTGACAGCATCAATGAACTTGGAAGATTGGCTATTTGAAACCCAAATTCTCCCTTTTTTTTCCCCCATCACAGCAAAAAATATCTTTGGGCATTCATTGAGCCCTCATTTCACATCACAGCCCAAAAACTATTTCCCAGGCGTGCAACAAGGTTTGAGTAAGAATCCAAGACCACCGTTGCTGGTCTGCTCTCCATGCCCTCTCCCTGCTCGTCACGTAGATATGACTTTCAACCGGGAAGAAAACCCGAATGCCAATTTTGATCAAAGTGACTTGTTATTGGATCTCCAGATCGCCCACTGGATAGGGGGACAAAAGCTGACAGTTACGTTACCAGCGCAAAAAGTATACGTGGGATCTATTGTCTTTTCTCTATAAACACTCTCTACTCTGAATACATGCCGAACGAAGGGATGGAGAAGGTAAGCTGTATCAGGAGAAGAGAACCAAGAGCAGACGGTTGAAAATAAACACATCTCCTAGAACGAAAGATGATGGATCTAAATATCTAAATCGCCGCCAGATCATAGATAAGATGGGGGGGGGGGAGACTAACAAGGTCCTCTCACATTAAATTCAGTGCCACACCATCGCCAGAGATCGAGGCTGCCCCTTGACAATCTAGATATCGACACTTAAACCCACCCGGAATATACACCAAATCGAAGGGGGGGAAATACACAGATGGAATATGCACCAGACCCAACCCAGGACCAGACAGACCTCCTCCCCCCTCCCCCCCTCGCCTTGCCTCATATCCAAATCTCCCCCCCCTCCTACCTCAACCAAGCCCAATCGATCCCCCGTGGTCGAGCGGTATAACGCCCTGGTCCGTTAGTACAAAACTTGGTATGAAATCTCGCGAAGCTCTACAATTCCAGATTTCGTAAGGTGCCCCGGTTCGATTTCCGGACTGGGCACCTGAGCTTTTGGCCTTTTTCTACCTTTTTTCTTGTTTATAGATACCCTTTTCACACCTTGTTCTTTTTCCAATTTCTCCAGGCGGGAAGGAGGGCACGCCCGCCCGCCTATTTGATAACCCTCGGCAACCACCTCAGTCTTTCGATAAGGTACGTACATGCCCCCGGCTCCCCTTGTTTTGCGAGAATCCCCCCCCCCCCCGGTCGACGTGAAATGCTTATACAAAATACACTACCGAGAGGGTGCTCTCATACATTGATAGTAGCCGGGTTAACAAACATCTTCCTCACTGGGACAAAATGTCTCAAGGTTGCCCATATCACACAGATCTCGCACGTAAGGAATCACCATCGTACCGACAGCATCCAGAAACCACCAGGCCTCTACAGAAAAACACCCAAAGTCATTGAGAATGTATTTAGTTGTGTAGCGGCGTCGTTTCCACCCAAAAGGGGAATCCGACCTGCCTATGTAAGACTCAAACCCTTTCCTCTGCCGCATCAGCCAATGCAAGAATCCATCCCCCGCAAAATAAACCAGGACAAGTATAGTCTCTCCATTCCCACTCCAAGACGAAGCCTGACGCCAATGATATGATCGTAAGAAACAGAACCAAAAAAACCGCGCACAAGAGTGGAAGGGGGAGGCGCGTCTTCTAATAATTCACACATGGACAGCGAAGGAGGGAGGTGGTGGAGTACCATCTGTAGATTTGCCCCTGGAACAAGTCTAAGCAGCAAAGTAGCGTTGAGGCTGGCTTGTGATTACCGCCACCCTCTAAAAAGGCTGGGACTTTGGGATATCTTCGATGACATCCTGTAAGGAAACAAAGGCGCCTGGTCCGCCATTTTCCCGCAGATCATCAAGCAGCACGCTTGTCTGGGCGTAGACCTTTTCGAGCGCAGCGCGAGAAGATTTGCCCAATGATACTGTATGACGTTAATAACTAATCAGCATACAACCGGTGCCACGGAAAAACTCACATAATATCGCAGAGTTGAGCTCCTCTGCCACTGCAAGTCGACCTTTCCTATCCAGCAGGTGTGCAACGTCCTTCTCCTTGAGCGGGTTTGCGTAGGCAAGGAGCGCGTAGATGTCCGCCAGGTGCTTCGTCACCTCTCGCCTAGGGTCGTTCTTGAACTCGGCGTGAAGCTCCTGACCGTAGAGCAGAGTTGCTATCTCGAGCTCGTTGATGTCGACAGTCGGTTCGTTGGAATCCTCAGTGTCCATCTGATCCCAAGCGCCGTTCTCGTTGCCATTAGCATCGAGATCCATCGCGCCCAGATCACCGCCATGGCCGTTGCTCTTCTTGGACTCTGACGCAGCCCTCATCTCAGCCGCCGTTCGGACCATCTCGATGAACTTGCGACAGCGCAACCGGAAGTAAACCTGCTCGTTATCCTTGAGAACTTGGGGATAAAAGGCGTTGGTGTGCTTCAGCGCCCTATCAATGTCGCCTTCCAGCACAGCTCGCCTAATTCCTGTGTGTTGTCAGCATATAGACGACTTCCTCGCCAGAAACTTGACGTACTTTGCCGCTTGTTGGCATGCTCGTCGTCCTTAACATTGATTCCCTCAATGGGAGCATTCGGGTCGAGACTGAGTGCCTTCTTTTCCGCGTTAATTTCCTCCGCGAATGCCCTCGCAGTTTCCACATAACCGTCATGCTGCAAGAACTGAAGGACGAGCGCCTGTATCAGTTCTGTCTCGTTCATCGCTGGCGCTAAGCTTGCTGTACTTGTTTCCGAGATTTCCCTCCGGATACGTTCCTTTTCTTTCTGTGGTCCCAGAATCGTTAGTGATGTTTCCCTCAAGGCTAACGAGGATCCCGTGTATTGACATCGGAGTCAGACACTGATGCTGTATATCCACAGTAAAGCACGGCTGACAAGTGCCAATAGCGCGTGTTACTGAAACTCGAGACAGAGAATAATCGGAGGCAGAACAGCATGGCAGTAGTAAGACAACCAGAATGTAGAAACATGCGGGAGTAGAGGTGAGGGAAAGGACAAAACTGACCGTCATCATGCCCTCAATGTCGAAAACAAAGGGCGTTTGACCAAAGTTGACACGAATGTGCTCCCCTGACTTCTTGAGACCAACTGTTGGATAGAGGCTACTGCCCTTTCCAATTTCGCGGAAAGCGGTACCTAGAAAAATGAGTTTGTCATCAATAGGAGTGAGGGACTGGGCTGCAATCCAGACATACCCAACATGTGGCCGTTCTTTGTGAAGAAGGCACAGCCAGTGCGGAAGTTGACACCACAGCCGATCACATCAGATGCAGTAAATGGAGGCCCATAGTTCTTGCCGCCATTCTGCCCAGCGTAACAGTGTCCATCGTCGCTGTGGTAGCCCCACGAGTCTGGCTCCCAGCCCGGGGGTCTTGAGAGGGCCACAGTCTTGGCCGAGAACCCGATGCCAATCGTCATGCTAACCAATCGTCAGAATACTCGTCACAGACCCCACACCAGAGGTCATAACCTACTCATCTCTTTTGCCTGACAAAACCTGGACTTCGAAATAATAGATACCGCACTGCGGAGGCATCGGGTTGTCCGCACGTATACTGAACGCCTCATGATCCCGCTCCGTCTGGCCCCGGGGCCCAATGTAGCGAACTTCGAGCCCATCTGAAAGAATATCGAGAGCACCGTACTTGTCGTCCCTGTTCCACCTCGTAGGTAGTGGGGTAAACGCCTCATCGTCCTCGAATGCTGCAGTCTTCTCGATGACGTCGTAATTCACTCCTCGGTGCGAAGCCGGCTTACTGTGAAGACTGACGCTGCTCGCGCTCGTCGTCAAGTTTCCACCGGGCTGTGCCTGGGCCGTCTGGGACTCCTTCTGCGCCTGTACCTTTGCAAAGTGCGCCTCCTCTAGCCGCTGTACGTATGTCGATCCAGTCAAATACGATGGCACGAAGAAACCGCCGTGTCCGCTTGCGCCGCCTGGCCCTCCGTTCTCGCCCGAAGGGTTCGCCATAAACATATCAAAGACCCTCGAAAAGGACGGCAGATTGTTGGCGCCCCGCGACAAGCGCGCAGACGTGCCATTCAGACTGGCGCCGTTCCTGTCTGCGTCCATATCGCCGCCCCTGCTCGAATCGTGGTAGGCCGAGGCCGGTTCGAAGGTGATGTCGTCGGAGTTGTTGAGGATCTGAGAGATGACCGAAGTTCGGCCGGGGTGGGAGAGGTAGGGCGGGTTATAGTTTGGTGGTGCTCCGGAAGCGACTGAAGCGTAGGAGAAGCGGCGCGGCAGAAGACCAGAGCTTCCCGTAGGTGTGTTTGATTCCGTGTAATGTGCAGAACCATGGAACGGGTTCGTCATGGTGAGGGGTCGAGGTTCGTAGAGGGGTCGACCAGCTCGCGCACCCGTGACGTCTCGTACGCAAAGAGGAGCTTCGCAATGCCCTCGAGAAGCCGCAGTCCGAGCTTCTTAGGATGAGGTGACCAGTGGCAGGCGTGTCTCTGTCTGAGTATCGAGTGATTGGGGTCTCGAATGGGTCTAGAAGGGTGGTCGGTCTGAGTGACGGGACTCGAGTCGGGGGTCCAAGGAGCAATCGAGTTCGGAATTGCGTGCTAAGACGGAGGTTCAGATCGGTCGAGAGGCACTACTATGATGTGGGTGTGGAGATGGTTTGCCAGGTAACGGTGAAGTGCCTTAGTCAAGGTTCATTCCGGTGTAGCAAAGGAAGTGAAAAACAGCCGCACGAGACGAGTCGTTCGGAGGAGGAGGGGCTAAAATGCTCCGCTGGACAGCTCGATTATCATGATAACGCAGTGATGAGAGATCGGAAGATGGGGGTTGAGTGAGGTCAGGTCGGGGTGCTATCGCTATGTGGAGTACGTGAGCGGCACACAGGTGACAGCGTGAGGTGAGGTACCGGCAAGGAGCGGGATTGCTGGCGAGGTACCTTACGTGAGTCGGGGAAGAACAGGGCCAGGCAAGGTTGTTGTTGGTGGTGGACGGAACGTGTGGAGTGTGCAGGTGCGGTACGATGCGGTGCAGTGACGAAGGTGAGGTCCAGCGCGCGGACAAATGATAGGCGCCCCCAGGTTCAGATTGGAGAGTGGCCTGGTGTGCTGGAGGGTTTGGTATGGCTGAGGTGAGGTGCAGTGCAGTGCAGTGCAGGTCTGGGCTGGGCTGA